AGGTGTGCGAGTTAAAAGTATATAAAACAATTTTCTAATTAAACACCGACCCACGCATCAACAGTAGTGTGTGGGTTAAAAATATATCAAGCTGTCATATTCGCTGAACATCTAGGCCATCTTCGAGCAAGAGTTTCCTGTAGACTATGGCCTTGAGAAGCACTGATCCGTTTCGAAAGGATTTGTGCGGTAGAATTTTCTTATTTCCATACTGAATATATGAGGCCAAACGAACTGCTAATTAACAGTGTCACAATTGAGGTCATATGTCAAATATCTGCGATCTTCAAAGGGTCCTACAGTATGTGGAGTCACAGACAAGCATCACAAAGACGTCATGAAATACAACAAACGACAAATTGCCACAAGATTGCATATTGCATGTTTTTATGAGGCACCCGTCAGATATGTGCCACACACACATTTATATATATATATATATATATATATATATATATATATATATATATATATATATATATTATATATATATATATATATATATATATATATATATATATATATATATATATATATATATATATATATATATATATATATCATCATCATCATCATCATCAGCCTGAGTCAGTCCACTGCAGGACGTAGGCCTCTCCCAGTCTTTTCCAGCTGTTCCTGTCTTGCGATTTTTGTTTCCAGTCTTGGCCCCCAAATTTCGCTATTTCGTCACGCCATCGTGTCATTGGTCTGGCTCTTGGCCTCTTTATGTTATTTATAGTCCAGTCTGTTACTTTCCTTGTCCATCTGTCGTCTTGTCTCCGAAATACATGCCCTGCCCACTGCCATTTCTTATTTTCGATGCTCCCGAGTATATCTTCCACTTTCGTCAGTTCTCTAATCCACGTCGCCCTCCTCCGATCCCTTAGGCTAATTCCCAGCATCGATCTTTCCATCCCTCTCTGGGCACTTATTAGTTTCCTCTCCAGTAATTTGGTTGCACTCCATGTTTCTGACCCATAGGTCATAACTGGGAGGACGCATTGGTTAAAGACTTTTCTTTTTAAGCACAGTGGCAAGGAACCTCTTAGTGTGCTACTGTGCCTGCTGAAGGCACTCCAGCCTAGACTGATTCGTCGCTTTATTTCCTCTTCACTAGATGTGCTTGTCTGTACGAGTTGTCCTAGATATATATACTTGTCTACTACCTCTAGCGCTTCGCCTTGTACATGTATCTGTTCGGGTGGGACTCTGCTGTTGAACATAACCTTAGTCTTTTTCTTGTTCATCGTAAGTCCGACTTTTAGACTTTCTCTATTCAGATCGTTTATTAATTGCTGCAGTTTATCAGTTGATTCACTAAGGAGAACAATGTCGTCTGCAAATCTTAGGTTGTTTAGGTATTCGTCTCCTATTTTGATACCCTTCCCTTCCCATTCTAGTTTCTTGAATATTTCCTCGAGGCAGGCTGTAAACAGCTTTGGTGAGACGGTGTCGCCCTGTCTAACGCCTTTTTTAATTGGCATTTTATCGGTTTCCGTGTGGAGCTTGATGGTTGCTGTCCCATCTTTGTATATATCTTCTAATGTATTACAATATAAGTCCTCTACTCCCTGTTGTCGAATAGCACTTAATACTGCTGGTATTTGTGCAGAGTCAAATGCCTTTTCATAATCGATGAATGCCATACACAGGGGTTTCCTATATTCGTTTACTTTTTCTCTTATTTGGGTGAGCGTGTGGATGTGATCTGTTGTTGAGAATCCGCTGCGGAAGCCTGCCTGTTCTCTGGGCTGGTTAGAATCCAGACTGTCAGAGATGCGAGATGTAATGACTTTCGTGAACAGTTTGTAGGTAACTGAAAGGAGGCTTATGGGTCGGTAATTTTTTAAATCCTTTTTATCGCCTTTTTTTGTGTAACAAGATAATTGTTGCATTTTTCCAGGCTTTCGGAGTTTTTTCCGCTGAGAAGACATTTGTTAAAAAGATTGGCTAGTTTCACTGTTGCGATGTCTCCTGCATCTAATATGAGGTCTATACTAATTCCGTATTCACCTGGTGTTTTCCCTCTCTTCATGCCTTTAAGTGCTCTTTCTATTTCTTCTTTTGTGATATTAGATACGTCTCTAGTTACCGCGTTTGCCTCTATCTGTGGCTCTTCGTTTTAGTTGTTATAGATCCCTGTAAAAGTCTTCCACTACTTTGATGATTTCATTCTTGTTATATGTTACTTCTCCGTCTGGTTTCTTGATTGCATACATTTGAGTTCCCCTAGTCTGAAATCACTGCTTCGTTTATTATTTGAGTATTGAATTTCCGTACATCTTCCCTCCTCTTTTTATTTATGGTCTTTGTTCAACTAATTCTATCTTGTCCCTGTTTGACGATACTTTAATGTCTACGTTTTAGCATAAGCTCTTTAGTTTCTACCGAGAGCTTGCTGGAGCTTTGTTTGCCGTTCCTGCCGCCTACTTCAAGTGCAGCTTCCTTAATTATGTCATTGAACTGTTTATTAATTTGGTTGATGTTGAGATCTTCGTCGCGGAGAAGTGAATATCTGTTTTGGATGTTTAGGCTAAATTCTGTTGCTCTGATCTCCAAGTTAGCCAAGTTTGGCTGTGGTTTACACATTAGTTTGTTCCTTTCCCTTCTGAGCTGTATTTTGATTTCGCCTCTCACCATTCTATGGTCGCTGCCAACATTTACTTTGTTGATAACTACTACATTTTTTATTATATCGTGCCTATTCGAAATTATGAAGTGAATTTCGTCTTTGACGTCAGAAGGCGACTTCCATGTCCACTTCCGTTCTAGTCTTTTTTCGAAGAATGTATTCATGATACTGAGTGATCGAGCCTCCGCAAAGTCGACTAGCATTTGCCCCTCTCGTTCCTAGTGCCTATTCCATGGTTCCCAACTGTGGTTTCTCCCTTTTTACCTATTTTGGCATTAAAATCCCCCATTTTTACTATGAAATGGGTTTTTGTTCTCTCACTGGCTAAATGAATATCTTCATAGAAGCTCTCAATTTCTTCACTGTGGCTGCAGGTTGGAGCACAGACTTGAATAATTTTTAAGTTGTACCTATTGTTTAGTTTTATCGTTACTGAAGCCACTCTTTCGCTTACACTATAGAATTCCACGATGTTCTTTTCTAAGCGTTTGTGTATTAAGAACCCTACCCCTAATTCCTGTTTGCTACCCTGAGGTTTACCTCTCCAATAGAGCACGTATCCGTCATTTATTATCTTCTGCTCTTCGCCTAGTCTTCTAACTTCGCAGAGGCCTACTACATCCCATTTAATGGAAGAGAGTTCCTCCAGTAAAGCTAGTAAGTCGGATTCAGTTCTCATGGTCCTTATATTGTATGTGCAAAGGTTCATCAACATGGGGCGGCCTGTCTGTACCCGGATATTTTTAGCACCCCTTGCTCCGGAGCGATCCTGATCGCCGCCGTAACCAGGGGCTCCTTCGCCTCCGGGGAATGGGGGCCGTTCCTGAATATTTTGTCTCATGCTTGGGAGGTGGACAGCCGATTTACCTCCCACCTACTGGCTTAGGTGTATCTTGGTGGGAGGGGGAGTAATTTAGCCGGAATGCCACGGATAAGTCCCACGCAGGTTTGGTCCTACTTCGTGTAGACTTTGGAGCGGCAATGAACGGCCTGCTCACTACACCAGGGTGTACTCCCCTGAGCTGGGCTTAAGTATCAGAAGTGCATATGTGTGTGATTTCATTTTATTTATTAACTTCACTTGTGCGTATGTGCACCTGATGCAAACACATTTATTCCCGCACATGCTCTAAATACCACGCACATACTCGCTCCCGCGCATATGCATATGCAAGCACACACCTATATATTTGTATCTATACTTATGGATAAGGGTATATATTCCTACTTTATAAATAACTGCACACATGCCCATCATACTTAAACCTAGTCATATGTTCACATCGCCTGTCCCTTTATGTGCTTGTTATATGTTATTGATAAGTAAGTGAGTATACATGAGTGTATACTCACCCGTATATATGCGAACACCCCTTTATGCACACCTCGCAAACCTACATATCACTATACATACGCATATATCTATCGATGCATGTGCTTACGCATCCGTGTATGAGCACATACATTTGCAAGCATACACTAATCCCCCCCACCCCCATATATATGTGTATACACTTGTACTTGCTTTACATATAACTTACTTTTTCGCACGTATATACGTACATACATACATATACTTATTTATATATACACCTTCCTACGCATGGCATACACATATATGTACGTATACATTCACATATACATATATAAATACCCATACCTACATATGCCTACATATACATACACCCATACATACACATATACACGCACATTATATATACCTATATACACATACACATGCATACATGCATATACACACACGTATGTATATATATATATATATATATATATATATATATATATATATATATATATATATATATATATCTATGTATATATATATATATATATATATATATATATATATATATATATGTGTGTGTGTGTGTGTATGTGTGTGTGTGTGTGTGTGTGTGTGTGTGTGTGTGTGTGTGTGTGTGTGTGTGTGTGTGTGTGTGTGTGTGTGGTGTGTGTGTGTGGGTGTGTCTATATGTGTATATATGTGTGTGTCTATGTGTGTGTGTGTGTCTATGTGTATATGCATGTCTGAGTGTGTGTGTGTCTATGTGTATGTGTGCGTGTGTGTGTGTCTGTGTGTCTGTGTGTCTGTGTGTGTGCGTGTGATAGAATAGATATGCATATATAATAGATGGGTGATGGAAAAACGTACCTACAGGGATTCGTTCACACGCAGTGAGCTTATATATAATCAACCTTCCCAGAATAAAACAGTAAAACTTGAAACAATTATTAACGACATGGATATCTATTAAATAACTTGTTGATTTATAATGCTATGACAACTACTATATATTTAACAAGTATGACAATAACTATGTATACATTTATACTTACTACCTCTCAGAATCTGAATTGATCCTGAGCTGATCTTGAGACTTGAGGGTAAGTCATCAAATTACCTAAAAATAGAAAAGTACACTTTGTCATCCTCAAAATAAAGTCTTAAAAGTTGCAATATGTTCAGATAAGTTCAATTACATTATAGATATAATTGTTCTAGAGATTGGAGTCCTCGCAACGGACTGAAATATAGGCTTCAAGTTCTCCCTCCATGTCGGGTTTTGCTCACTTCTGCTGTCAACTTGTGCTTGTGAGTTGCTTGCCAGGCTTCATCACTAGGAAATGTGCAGAAGTATTTAGAGTGTAGTTTATGTTGCAGAAACGTTACAAGATGAGGAATAAAGATTTTAGTTAATTTTAGTATTTGTAAATGGATATTGCAATTAATTGATATTAACTTACGTGAACTTTTTCGGTAAATTTTTAGAACACATGTATTTACTAACTTGCATTGCACCAGTGTTTGGCACAAGGCTAGTGACACGTAACAAATATTGCATTGGCAGAAGCAGCAGCCAGACTGGAAACCTTTCATGTGCAGGCAAGATATTTTTAAAAGTCTTAATTTAGGGCAATTAGATTTTCTGTTTGTTCAGAAATGCTTGTTTCGTTATTGCATAACTATTGTTTTGTATTATGTAACATTTGTGATGGTTAATATAGTATTTATTCATTGTATCTACTCTACTAAAATGGATTGTCATTGATGGCCAGACTCTAGAGCATTCCTTGTGCAAAAATTATTTGGCCAAATTCTGTCAGCACAAAGATAGTGCTCGGGTAACTTTCCACGCACACAGTTCCTTTTTAAATCACCCACACTTAAAATTCTTTTGACCTTTCCACGCACTTGTTTCATCATGTAGACAAAATCATGTTCCACTCATGAAAAAATGTAATATTCCCTTTGCAAGAAAAGTACTCTACAGTCTGGATTGATGGCACAACTTAATACGGTTCAGTTCAGTTCACAGTCATTCACAGTTTGTAAAGGGATCCACATTTGCGTCAATCTGCGCTGCGTGGTAAACAGGCACCTTGACAACTTTGTGCGGACAACAAATAAGAAAGGGATAGGGAGGTTTGCTGACCAAGCTTGTTAGTGAAATGCAAAGGCTGCTTTGACAATGTGCCATTATCATGTACTTTAGACTATAGATATCTCATCATAGATTACAGCAAGTCACAGTAGATTTAGGTAGCACACAGCCATATAATTTGGACCATTGTGAAAGCCACTAAAAGTACCTTCCAAACATTCACAATCTTTCTTTATCCATGTAATCAGAAAACATGGTGGCTTTTATGTATCTTACAATCTTAATTGTCCTAGAAAATGGAGAAATTGTAATAAAAAGGATTTGAATAAGTTATCATTTGATATCTTAGTGACGAATGTCAAAAGTTTTAAAAAAAGTATTTCCATTATGATTATATATGATTGATAAAAAGATTTTTGAAATATAACCTTAACTTTCATATGGCATGTGTTTATGAAAAATTGAAATCTAATGATCATGTCAGTAGATGTTGCATTCATGTGTTACTGTTGGTGCGATCCATAGATGCAGCAGTAAAAGGAGCAATTAAAAATTATTAGCATAGCCAACCACTTGAAATATGCTGCATTTTATGCCCTAGGAAATTAATTAGATATATAACTATGTTGTCTTAAATTTTATAAGATCAATGGATTTAGCTTCTTTTAATACCAAGATATCTTTATATGCCATAATATGATAAGTACATTATGCAGCTTGATTTATATTTGAGTCTTGCCTAATATAGTATGTTTATCTTTCAGATAAGCTCTCTTTTTGGAACTCCAGTCTCAAAGTCCAGCATGGCAGAGTCTCGCTATTTTCCAAATCCGTATCCACCCACTCTTCAAGGGGAGAGAGCAAAGATCTTAGATGATAGTAAGAATCAGGTATGCTCTGAAATCCTCACTCTTTATCTATCCCTCTGTCTTCTCTCTCTTCCTTTCTTTCTCCACCTCCCCTTCTCAGCCACTTCTGCTCATTCTCTTTCATTTTATTCTGACACAGAATAATGTTCTGATACAGATCATTAAATATTAATCAATGCAAATAAAAGTAAAATAATTTCATGTCTTTTCAGCTTTCTGAAGAATACATAGCAAATTCAAAAAGGACCGTTCAGAATCTCCTGAAGGTACTGGATGCCGAAGAGAAAAGAAGCTTAGACTGGGGTGATGTCTCTGTGTATACAGGAGTGTGTGGTTATGTTCTTCTTTATATCCATCTTTCAGATGTACTGGAAGATGATAGTTACATACAGGTAATTGTTTATTTTAGGGGGGAGTAAGTGATGATTTGAATCAGATTTCACCTACATGAATTAACTAATATTCTTGTAAGCAGCATTTGCCTCAATTTTGCTCTTATGTTTTGTAAATAATTATTTCCTTTTTTGTTTGTTTGTTTTGTCCACAGAAAGCTTTGCCTCTCATTGAAAAGGCGATCACAAAAATAAAGGGGCGGCGAGTGTCTTTTGTCTGTGGTGATCCAGGACCTTTAACCCTTGGCGCTATTCTGTATCATCGGTTGAATATGAAATCACAGGTTCCAGCTTGCATTGAAGGGTTAGTATTTTCTGTATTAGATTTATATGTAAAGAGTTTGCATAGGTGTATTTTGGGGTAAAAAACAAATGTGAATGTTAAATTATTTTGATATCAACATTGGGCCACAGCGATTTTTTTTTTTTTTTTTTTATCTTGAATAGCGGGCAAGTCTGGTGATAATGAAATATTGGCAGGAGGAAAAAAAAAAATCTCCAACTCCAAAATAAGACTAGTGTACCTCCTACCCTCCAAAGATCAGAAGTAAAGGAATGTAACAATTCCAGCGCCAATTGGAGGAAGTACAATTCTGTCTTACTAGAAGTCTTCAGGGAGCTGAATGAAAACAGACAAAGAATTCCTTCAACCAGAATTTGTTATTTTGGAAATCAAAATGAAAAATATTCATGAAAAATTGACATATATAATATATATACTTTGCCATTTTGTATAGGTAGGAAAAGGACTCTTCCTTTCTGGATATGAAATGGAATTCAATATAAAAAGAAGAAAACAAGCATTTTTGTTTTGATGTTTGAATGTGAGTGTTTACATCCTTGTGCGCAGGTTCTCTGTGCATATTGCGAAGTACGCCAGTACTGATCAGAAGCGACCACCAATCACGTGCATGATAGACAGTAGACATGACATGACATGACACCTGAAAGTAAGATATTTCTACCAAATATAATCTATTTTTGTTTTGAGGATGGCAGAAACAATACTATACACAAAGATAAATAAATTTCGGTGGGCCCGCTATTCAAGAAAAAAAAATTGCTGTGGCCTTATATTCCATGACTATGTTTATTGTAGTGTATTGTGATATGAGGGTTGTAGAGGCTTGTTTGTATAATCTTGTATTAAGAAAGCAAGGCATTTATTTTCATAAGATTGTGGCAGAGGTAATGGAGTAATAATAGGAATAGGGAGTTTAAATGTATCTATATCTCTCCCAAAGTAAGGGATGTTGTGGAAATATAACTAAATTTTCCATTGTATATATAGGCTAAATTCAGTGAGTGAAGAATTTTAATGAAGTATACTAACCCTCAGAATTAATTCTGGATATTTAACTTTTAAGATAAGATTTACATAGTATGAATCATTTCAAGAAATAAACATTTTTTCTGCACTTTTCCTTCTTACAGTGTCAAGAAGATGAAAAGAGACATACTCAATCCAAAGTCAGATGTACCAGATGAAATTCTGTATGGGAGAGCAGGTTACCTTTATGCACTCCTTCTTATTCAGAAGGAGGTAAGTTGCATCATCTGTAGGCATGTGCGAATTAGGCTGGAAATGAGAGAATGGAGATCATAATGTTTGTATTGCTGATGATTAAAGTGATGGTTATCAAAGATTAACATCTGGTAAAGTTAATTAGTAATAGTATTTAGATTGGATAGTTTACTATTAATCCCTTAAACATGCAGTACCTAAACCACCAAAGGACAAGCTCAGTACAGTCAAGCAGATGTTTGCAAGAATGCACAGTGCTAGTTATGTGATTTTAGATGTTTTCTACCATACATCCGCATTCCCAGTCTTTATTTACAAAACTTTAAAAAGAAATTAATCTGTTGGCCAACATTAGAAGGCTGCAGATATTACTCTTTAATATCATCTTGTTTTCCTTGAAGATTGTAGTCTAAACCACAAATCATCAAACTCCATATTACACCCATAATCAGACCAAAAGCTTTGTCATGAGGACAGTCTTGAAATCTGATAGGGTCAGATTAAAAGATGTCAGTTAATGGAAAGTGATATTTAGGCAATAGGAACTGAGGACAAAAACTGCATTTATTGTAGATTTCTGGGTTTCATGTGTGGCTAGGAAACATTTTTCTTTCTTTTTCTTTTCTTTTTTTGTCTATCTTTTTTTCCCCTTTTTTTTTCTTTTGAAAAAAGATGTTAGTTGTTAAGTGTATTTGATATATATATATTTTTAACCATTTTCTATGCTTTAATGTATGATATGTATGCCACATTGCTTACCAATATGGTGTTCTCAGTTTTGTGTGCTAAGTATTCTTTCTTTTTTGTTTTTATCATCTTTCTTGAATTATGAAAGCTGTTAATCCCACTTACAGATTGGAAAGGCTGAAATAGATGACACACTTGTAAGGTCTGTGGTATCAGCAATTTTAGATTCTGGCCGAGCTCTTGCTCTCAAAGAAAGAAGGTCTGTTCCTCTGATGTACCAATGGCATGAGAAGCACTATATTGGAGCAGCTCATGGCATAATAGGAATTCTCTTCATGCTCTTACAGGTAAGAAATATCTGGAATAACTTAACAGTTGTGACAAAGTAGTGACTGCATTTTATTATATGTAGATATATTCTGTTCCTGTTTCTGACTAACCATCTTTTTTATTTAAGGCAAAGGAACACCTCACATCTGCAGAGCTGCATGAACTGGTGAAACCGACAATTGATTACATTGCTAAGCTACAGTTTCCCTCAGGCAATTTACCATCATCTCTCAGCAATGAATCTGATCGACTTATACATTGGTGCCATGGAGCTCCTGGAGCTGTATTTCTTTTTGCAAAAGCTTATCAGGTAAATTTTAAATTAGTTTTCGTAATAATTCTTATTAATTGTTGTTTTTACAACAGGCAACTTAGCCTGCGGTATACACTATATTGTAACTGGCAGTGTTAATGCACTGAGTGTAAACTACTTAGACAGATAATGTGGAGTCTGTCCAACAAAAACAGTCTATTATTATCTTGATACAGCATAATAAAAGACAGATAGACCTCCAAAGATAATATGCAATCTTGCCCAACTCTATTTTTATAGAGGTATTGTGATTATTTTAATGTTTCAGGTTTTCAATGAAAAAAGTTACTTAGAACATGCTCTGAAAGCTGGTGAAAGTATTTGGGAAAGAGGACTGTTAAAGAAAGGTTATGGTCTGTGTCATGGTTCATCAGGAAACGGTTATGCATTACTGTACCTCTACCAGGTAAGGCAACCTTTTTGTAAACTTGTTATTCCACTTTTTCATGTGGATATATCTCTATTTTATTCTAGGAATTGGTAAAGGCAAACATTTTTCCTAACTGAATGGCCATGTATACATATACTGTCCATGTTTTTTGTGAACTTTGTTACACAGATGGCTCCATATCTGTTAAGCCACCAAGGAGTCACTTAGTAGGTGCTATGTGACCTCACCCAGTTTCCTTGAATTTCAGGGGGAAATGCTATTGATAGTAATACTGTCATTATCATTCTTTTTGACAACATGATTATTATGATATTATTGATACTAATAACAATTTTAAAGATTTCAAAATCCTTTCAAAATTCAAGCAATAGGGTAAATTGATGAAATAGGTAGGACTAATAAAGAACTCTTTGGTGACTAAGCCCTTGGAGGGCCAACTATATGTAAACATAATTGATTAATTAAAATTATAGTGGACATGGCATTTATGCTGTGCCATGTGCTCACATTGTCTTAATGATCAGTTTAGGAAATTAATGAATTCTTGTCATGAAATTTAAATGTTCTCTATAAAACAAGATTTTTATGCTCTGTTCATGAGACTTTCAACTGTATATAGTCATAGATAAGATAGATAGTTCCCAGAGGGACCAAAATATATTATCTTACAGGAGGTGTTGTTGGTGTTGTTTCTTTCTAGGTAACAGGAGATTCTGAAATGTTATATAGAGCAGCACAGTTCGGACGTTGGTGTCAAGATTATGGAAAGCATGGCTGCCGCACACCAGATAGACCTATGTCCTTGTTTGAGGGCCTGGCTGGTAATATTCACTTCTTGGCCGATATTGCAAATCCCAAAAATGCAAAGTTTCCTGCTTTTGTTTTGTAAGATAACAATGAGCTCAAAGGTTCCCAGTTATATCATCCCTTTTGTGCTTTCAGAGGTATGGATGTCTGTGAAATTTATATCTTCTTATATGTGTAAATCTGTAAGATATATAGATATTGGTCTTAAGGATGTACCATTACTAATGGTAAAACATTGAAACATTGTACAGTTTTATGTTTTGAAAGTAATTTGTCTGTCTCAGTGTTGATTGTTAAATCCTTTTTATATAGATAGGCTATTTGGCAACTCTCCAGTAGTTATGAAATGTACACCCAATTTAGTTTCTGTATGGAGAACATTTAAAAGATTAAGGTTTTCTAATGAGTTATTGAGTCTCATTAATCAATTAAACATTTTTATGCCCTTTCATTTTTACATAGGGGACCTGAGAAATATTTACATTGAGGCTGAAATTATTAGATATTCTTTTTTTCTTTCTTTCTCTCTCTTTCTTTCCATCACATTAATTACCAAATGGCATGGTCCCATTTGCAATAGGTCATGCATTTATTACCTTCCATAAACATAAAAATACACTTTTATTATATATGGATAAAAATAATGCAAATGTGTTGTTTAGCATTTATACTGTTTGTTACAGAGTATAGAATGAAAGGACAATGCCTGACATTCAGTTATAAAAGTGTACTGAAATATGTCAATTCATAACAATTCTTATGGTTCTTTTCATGTCATAACATATTGTTTAAATCTTATCAGATTCTCAAACCACTTGTATGGAAATTATTCAGAATACAGTCTCCCATCTGTATCTTTCTTTCAACCCATCCAATATTCATATATTATTCATTTAGCGTGGATTTACATATTTATTTTTCTTAGCTTTAAGCTTTTGCCCTTGAGGTTTTGGAGCCTCAGCAACTGGTGCAGCTTCATGAGGACTGTAAACATTACCCATTTGGGCATAGCAGTTTCTTATTAGTTCTACCACATCAGTATAGTGTTTGGCCGGTTCAACAACATGCTTATCAAGGAAAATTTGGTGACTCAGCAGCCCAGCTAAGGCAGCTGATATATTACCCTTCCTCAATGCACCCAAACAGTCTTTATGATGTAACAGTTGCGCATCAGCCTCTTGCACTAGTTTTGTATATTGTTGTACATTGCCACACATGTTACATTTAGAACGAATAGATGTAGAAAAGCAAAATGGCTGTTGACACTTTGGTGCTGGACAACGGAGTATCAGTGTTTCCATCTGGTGATGTGGATACAAAGGCCAGTTATGTGTACAGGCTTCACACAAACATTTAAATTTATATTGATTTAGGAGAACTTCCTGTCGTTCTACCACAGGATTTGAGTAATATTGAAACCCATAATTATCAAACACTTCAGAGCCTCTTGGAATATACCTTATTGCACGCAGTATACACTTGTCTCCGACACTGTAACGGATAGCATTAGATTTACAGGAGTGGTTTGTGAGTGAGACTGTTGTGTAGAATGCACCGCCCAATTCATTAGTAGTATGTACTGTGGTATCATGCTCTGAGATCTCATATGCATTACATGAAGCTCCTTGCAAGTGTCTGAGTGCTAGGGCAGCCACAAATAATTCATCTTCTTCCAGGGGTTCTTCTTTCCCGAAAAAGCCCCCTAACTTAAGGCACTGACATATGTAAAGAGCTGTAATGCTTCTCTTTAAAAGATCACCAAAAGATCGCTTGTTTGAATTAGTTATGAGGTGAAAGACAGTCATATAGTCTTTTGGGTGATATTTTCCTTCCCAGCTTATGGGTTTTGGTATGGTTTCACAGTCTGTAGAGACTTCTTCTGCTACAAGATTTGGAGCTTCACATTTCTCTTCATCAATAACTGTCAGGAGCTTTTCTTTTAGCTTCTGTAGTTTAGACCATGACACCATGACAAGTGCTCTGTAAATCAAGGAAATAAATAAGGTCAGATGAAAGGAATGAACATATCTATCTGTGCCCTTAGCTCACCTAAAGTGAAATAATCAAACTACTTGCAGAAAATTCATAGAGATTACAATATTTTTAAAAAATCAAAAGATATGATCTGGCTAGCCAAGTTCATGGTTGAAAGAATAGCTTGACCAAATCTCATGGTTCATTATCTAAACACCTCATTTCAGTATTATAAATGATTTAAGATGTTACATCCCTCTTTCAAGGACAATATGTGAGACTGCTAAGGAAATAGATCCATATTATCTATTAATATTTTTAAAACTTCTTCAATTAGACAAAAATAGAATTTTACATTATGTGATTTATTATTAATAGACAGGATTAATTGTATGCAAATGAAACTTAGGATCTGTGTCTTCAGAATACCTGTTTAAAAACCTCATACTTCATTCATATAAATACTTATTTGATATGTCTATGCATTATTATAGCATTTCCTTAATTTTTTTGTAAATTCACTGATAAAAGGTGTTTGGAAAATACTGACCTGAAAACAAGTAAAGCCACTTTTCCTATTTCAGGGTCCATAAGGTGATTAAGAACCTTGCATTCCATTTTATGTTGCTTTTCCCATGATGCTGCGTAGCATGAGTCACTACAGTACGACACCTGACAAAAGAAATTTCTTTCAATACCAAAGCATATAATTAACATTTCATGTTTTTTTTCTGTAGATTTGGAGTTGAATGCTACTAGATATTTCTTGGCTATATAATCGAAAATGTACCTTTTATATTTATTGTAACAGTGACCTAAACCAGTACAACTATATGATTTTTCATGTTGAAAAAATAGATATTCTATATATCCAGCAAACAAGAAAGATACTCACCTTAGCACAAGAGCTGCATGGTATTGGACAAGGACAGTAACTAAAACAATTATAGCAATGGCTGCCACAAACATCTGCATTCATCATGGTTACATATGGTTCATCAATGATCAAAATATCACCTGAAAGGAATAAGAAAATAAATAAAACATTATTATGTACATATGGATAATGCAAATTAAAATATTCATCTTAAGTTTTCCTAAGGAGAAGGTTGCTTTGTGAAATAATCTTTACAAAAATATTTTGAGGAAACAGAAAACCTGGATGAACATAATGTCAAATAATCAAATATATCAGTAGAATTGCCCATTGTCAACAAAAGATATTTGAAAAATGCTATATAAAGTAATGAGTAATTTATATTTTCTTACTGTAACTGGTCTTAC